ACTATGCTGGAAGCCATTATGGAAACTATGGCGGAAGCCATGGTGGAAACAATGGTGTTGCTTATAGTGGTAACTCTGGCAGTAACTTTGACAGCAACTATAGTTACACCCATGGAGGTAATCATAGTGGCAACTATGGCGTTAATGCCCACCCATCGTATTCTGATCATCATGGAGGTATTAGTGCTTATTAAAAATTTAATTTATTGGCAAAAAATTCTAATAATATAAATATAGGTGGAACACCTTCAATTTATCCAATGCCTGATCAATACGGAAACATTGTTGATAACCATGATGATAGCGATGATTCGTGGTGGAAGTCGTTAATGTAAACGAAAAGCTAGTGTTTTGAAAATCTTCTGAGGATGATTTTGGGGCAATTTTTTATTTACGGATTTTTTTGATCAATAGAAATTTCGTCTTACCCTGAATCACTAATATTGAGTTCTATTCGGCTCCAGTGATCTTTAGAAAGACTTTATTTTTATGCCGACTAACATTAACCCCACTTCTGCATCCATTGGTCAATGTTTTGATTTGTTTCTCTTAAAGAAACTGGAGTTTTTTGGTATCATGTAAAACATTTATTTTAAAAATTTTATATTTACACTGGGGTTGTCGGTTCGGAACAGAATTGCAAAGAAAATAGGGAATATTTCATTTATGTTCCTGAAATTCGAAGATTTTCAAAGAACCGACAACGAACCGTATATGCTCGAAGAATTACACTGGGTAATTATTATAAGGATGATTAAAACGCTAGGGGGGGTATAACGATCTAGAAGGATAAAAGAGAAAGCATTAGTCTTCGCCCAGGTAGCTCAGTGGTAGAGCTCCTCTATGTAGTGAGCAGTGCTTCGAAGCTCGTACCAAAATTCGTACTCGTACCTCGTACTCGTACTCGTACCTGGTACGAAGTACGAGTACGAGCAAAAAAATTAGGCAGGTACGAAGTACGAGTACGAGTACGAGGCCAAAAAAAGGTGAAAAGTACGAGTACGAGGCCTAAGTACGAGCTCGTACTTCTCGTACTTGGTGTTAATAGGAAAATTGAGAGAAATATATTTTTTCCTTTCATTTTTCATTATATGAGCGAGTGGCCGAGTGGTGAAGGTGCATGGCTGCACCAAAGTCTATAATGATTTATTATTGGGTTCGTTTTCTATTCACTGGACAAGGATTTTTAATATTTTTCTCTTCATAAATAACTTATTTATAATTTTAATTTTTTTTTTAAATTATTGTATTTTTACTCGGATTAATTATGAGATTTTGACCCTCTAAAATTCTTAAAAATTTTTTTTTAAACACAAAAAGTGAATTTTTTTCGCCTACGGCCTTCGGAAATTTTCAAAATTTTCGCCTGCGGCGCTGAAAAAATAAGAAAATTGGCTTATTGGCTTCCAAATTCTAAAATTTTCGCCTTCGGCGGTGAAAAATGAAAGAAATCTGGCTTCATGGCCTTCAAAATTTTTCAAAATTTTGCCTGCGGCGCAAAATATAGAAGAAATCTGACTTAAGGACATTCAAAATTCTCAAAATTTTTGCAAAAGGATTTGAGATTAAGAGGGATATAAGGAGATTAAAATGTGAAAAGTTCAGTGGAAAAGATAAAAAGTTCCATGTAAGAAGATGAAAATCGGATGAAAAATGTAGGATTTTGGATAGCACGACCCATCTTGGAGGAAATATTTCTCCTTGCACTCTAAACTGCTCAAAAATTTCGCCTGCGGCGCAGCACATGGATGAAGTTGGAGGTTTTATAGCTTCAAAGCCTTCTAAGATTCAAAAATTATCACATACAACGCTTAAAATTTAAAACTAGCTGCCTTGGGCTCCAAAAAATCATAAAAATTTTCGATTTTTTGCTTTTTCCTCAAGTACGAGTAAGTACGAGGTACGAGTACGAGGTACGAGGCCAAAAATAGGGGTGGTACGAGGTACGAGTACGAGTACGAGGCCAAAAAAAGAGGTGGTACGAAGTACGAGTACGAGTACGAGCAAATTTGAAATTTCGAAGCACTGGTAGTGAGCAAAAGCGCCTAGAAATAAAGTAGCAGGTTCGAATCTTGCCCGGCAGCTAAACTTTTGGTAAATTCTTTCTTTATTGTTTCAACCCCTCGTTGAGGGAGGTATTAACGAGAGAGAGAGAGCAATTAGTTGAAAGAGTAATTATTTGAGCATATACGGTATTTTATGATATTTTAACCATTAAACGATTGGGTTTTATCATTAAATGTCTTATTTTTTAAAGTTTATCGTAAAAATGTTCAATTTTTTAAATTTTGATTTTTATAAAATTTTTGGGAAGGAATATTTAAAAATATTCTTGTTTTTAAGTAAATGTCGTTTTGACAAGTTTAAAATAGTTGAATTAAAATTTAAAAATTTAAAATTAAATTTAAAATTTAAAATTAAAAAAACATGATAACGAGAATTCCATCCAAATTCCCCGTGAATCTTCTGACAGATTATCCACTGACGGGTTGTTCGGGAGCCCGGATTTTTCCACAGATTAAGGTTCCAAATAACTGTAAACCACTTAAAGGAGTTTTATTTCAAATACTTTTTCACTTGAAAGAGTTTAATTTAAAATTTTTATTTAATTTTATAAAATTTAATTTTTTAAAAATCAATTTACCTCTCTATTAAATTCAATAATCAATTGAAAATTTTTTTTTCAATTACCCGTCAGATGGCATTAGAGAAAGAAATTTAAAATTAGAGAGAGTAACACTAGCTGTTGACAATCCAAATTGATTAGGGGAGATATTAACAGCTCGAGATCGAAACTTCGAACTGCTTTGTTTGTTGTTTTGATATTTAATCTTTTAAATCTATTTCGCCTTTATGTTTAATGATTTGTTTGTAAAAGTTACTTTGACAATTTTTATGTTTGCCTCGATAGTTATCAAAACATTTTTAGAAACTTTGTTTATATTAAAATTAAAATTATTTAACCTTCCTATTACAGTGTGTAACAAAACTATGGCCCCCCTAAAAATTTTTAATTTCTTAAGGTTCTAATGAATGAAAAATTTTAAAATTTTTACCAAATATCGAAAATACAATTTCAATCTAGAATTAAAAAAATTTTTTATTAAAAATTTTTACAAAAAATTTTTTCTAACTTTTTATCAAAACTAGGTGTAACATAACTATAGCCCCCCTTGGAAAAATTTTATTTTTCATATTAGAAATGCCTGAAAGATTTTGCAAAAATTTCTGTAAGCATTTCCATCAATATTAAGTATAAAAGCAAAAAGAACGAAGTCTGTAAATAATTTTGTCATCGAGATTCAAAATCTCAGAAATCAACGGGAAATAGGGGTACAGTACTTCAAAAAATCTTTTAACCCCCTTTGAGGTTGTATAAAAATTTTTTGTTAGTTAAAATTTTTTGTCTACAAAAATAAACGAAACGGTATACGGGTCTCAGATAAACCGCATAAGCGGTATACGGTTTTTTCAAAGTTAAACAGTTTTGTCCAACCCTACTTTCTATCAAAAATTAATTTAGAAAACGTATTAAGTGTTTACTTTAGTTTTTGTCATAATTATTTTAATTAATAAAATTCAGACTAATATTCTAAGTTTACTTTGTTAATTTTTTGGGTGGACTCGACAGACTTTAAGGGATAAAAGAGCATTAGAGAAGCCTTAAAATCCTTCTAAGCGCTGCTTAAAAATTCTCCATATTAGAGCTGCTTTGAAACAAGATAAACTTTAAATTAACTAAATGGAAGATATATTATGCATCGAAAGGAATTAAACTCGAAAATCGAAGTTTCGAAACACCCCAACCTCCATGTTAATGTATTTTAAGGGATTATTTATAGAGATTTGACTTTTCTTCAATTGAATAAGAGAGCATTAGAGAAGTAAAAAAGAATTTGGCAAAAGACTTAACGAATCGCTGGGCCAAGCTAACATCTCTTCCCATCCTCCCCACTTGGGAGATGTCAAGGGAGTGGCTTGCTATTGACGCCGACGTAGGTGGGTGGACTTGACAGCGTTAATGGAGCTCCATAAATAACGGTCTGTTTTAGCTAGATAGGTAGCATTTCTCAATTGCGTTTAGAATTCTTCTTAAGTTTTATTTATAGCTAAAAATCCTTATAATAAAAAGTAGGACCTAACTTTCATATACATCTAAGTATAGATAAACTTTAATTTTCCTACTATTTTTCTGCCCCAAGAAGTCTCTTGGTAGAAGCCCAAGAAGTCTCTTTTATGCCCAAAAAGTCTCTCTCCCAAGAAGTCTCTTGGTAGAAGCCCAAGAAGTCTCTCTTATGCCCAAGAAGTCTCTCTCCCAAGAAGTCTCTCTCTTGGTCTCTTGGTAATAATAATAGCTAGAGCTATCCGAGACTCTTAGTCGTGAGTCTTGACACAAGACGCGAAACTCGAGACTTTTTGCCATTTCAAATGTCTCCAAAACTATGTAAATTTTCGCTTGCGGCGCTAAAGAAGGAAGAAATATTACTTCTTGTCCTTCTAAACATCTCAAAATTTCTGTCTCGAGTTTTGAAATTTAGTCTTGGACAGCTCTAGTAATAACGCTGCCGTATTCAACTAAGTTTGAGTGGAATAAACCTCATTTAGACCCTTCGAATTAGACTTATTAAACTTTTTTTCTATAAAATTTTAAGATTGTTTGTCTAGAAGTTCAATTTAAACAGAAACCTTTTCAAATCCTTAAAAGGAAATTTTCCGAAAAATTGGAATGAAATTATTTATAATTTTATTCTGTATTGTCATTCAATGGATGTTTAAAATTGTCGTTGGAATTGACTTCAAAGTCCAAGTGTTACCATCAAATTATTTCTGGGAAGTCAAAGTGACATCCAAGTATTTTGAAGTTGATGAGCCCGTAAAAGTAAGTATCACTAGATTTTAAAATCTAAACTATTGTAAGGATGATTCACCCAGCAGCATTTAAAACGCTTAGGCGGGGGTTAAACGATCTAAAAAAGGAAAAAGAGAAAGCATTAGTCGATGCCCCGTTAGCTCAGTGGTAGAGCTCCTCTATATGGTGAGCTAAAACGCCTAGCAACAACTTGAAGGCGGTCGCAGGTTAATCCTGCCCGCTGGCTAAACTTTTGCAAACTCTTTCTCTATTATACATAATATAATTTTATCAATTAATATTTTTAATAAAGGTTCAAACTGAACAAGGAAGCTATATTACATTCGAGCTCAATCGAAATAAAAAGAAGTCCAAAAGTTACAAAATTGAAGTTTCAATTCAATCAAATAGAGAAATCGAAGGACAAATACGGGTATTAGCTTAGCAAATATAAAATTATATAATTAACTTAATTTTAATAAAATATTTTATTAAAGTCTCAAACATGGACACTCTTTCCAAATCCAAAAAATCCAAGGTCTGGAAATTTTTACGATTTCAACAAAGTGCATCAATTCAATTTTGGGCAATATAAGCCTGTTGGAAACAACGGCTTATATCTGGACATTCAGGTTTGATTCTTGTAAGATTGATGATTAAGGAGGAGAAATTCCAGTTGTTGATTAAAACATGCTCTTCTAAAGCCTCTGTTCCTAGATACACCATGTCAAATAGTTCACGCAGACATTATATAAAAAACATTTATTTAAACATTTCAGACAAGTAATGCCGACCAACTTCAACAAATTCCTGAAGGGGTTAAAAAATATTTTGCTTCTATTTCCGGATTCAATGAAGAGATTGAATTGAGCCGTGAACAGTTTTATGATTCTGAACTAATTCGACTTGATTTGATGGGGAAGACATCAAAACCCACACTGAAAAAGACGTTATCTTCGCTGTCTCCATCCTCAATAAAATTGCTTCGATCAAGCAGCAGTAAATCTCTGTCACCAAACAGCAGCAAACTTAGCGCAATTGAAGAATACATTAAAAATCACGACAATCCAGAGCTAAAAGTCCGCATATATATGGTGATATATTATTCAATAATTATTTTTTAATAACTAATTTAATGATAATTCTTCTGATCGTTTTAAACTTAAGAAAAAAACTGTCATAATTCAGTAAAAATTTAATAAAGTAAAAATAAAATTTAATATATTTAGAAGGTTAAATGTGGTTATTACGCTCACGATAGAGCCGATCCTTTTGCTAAGGAAGTGGTCTACAAGATTAATTATGCTGTAATGAATATATTAACTTAAATTTTTTAAATAAATATTTTAGAACCATTACACATGCAAAAAATGCAAAAACATCTACATGAATAATAAAGAGTAAAATTTTACTTATATATTTGGTGACGGCATAATTTTGGTATATTTTCGAGCCAAAAGTCAAGGCCTGACCCGATCATCGGACCGTGTCGGATCGGGCCTACAACCATATTCATTATTAAATCACCAACTGAATATATAAAACCTAAAGAAAACCTAATGCGGTTCAAACACTTGCGGTTAATCTATTGGAGTTTAAAATGCTTTCACATACCTCAAAAATTTAAAAAAATATTTTAATAATTTTAGTGTCTACCATTCACCAACAATAAAAAAATTTAATCTTCCCTTATTAGAGCGTACAATCCGTAATCCGATTCTACAGGTATGCTTTCATTTAGAATGAAAATTTGTAACTTTTAAAGAATGGAAATGGACCTGGATTTACGTACGAATTTGATTTTGCGCAGCATGAACAGGATAAGAGTATAAATTTGAATTTTGTGCAACTTGTCGATCCAAATAATTTGCATAATGAGAGTACTTCTTCAAGCCATGCTCCTGAGTATGGATATGAAACTCCGACACATCCTACACATGTTTCGACTAATTTCCAAAATCTGAAGTTGAATGATGAGGATGGAAGTGAAAGTGAAACAGAGAGACCTAACTATGCGGCTATGCATGGACAAGGAGTAAAGTATGTTTAATATGTTATTTTCTGAGATACCGTATTTATTCTAGTAGAACCACAGTGGTTCTATTTTTTAACCCTCCAATTTTGTATGGTTATATTAGAGACTGTGGTTCAAATAGAGACTGTGGCAGCGAGGACAGCGGGGGAGATTGTTCCGTCAATGGGGGAGGTTGTTCCGTCAATGTGGGAGGGTATGTTTCAAATCTGAGATAGTATGTTTCAAAATATTTTTATAAATCAAAAGGTTTTCTGCCTCTGGAACATAAAATTTCGTATATGGAAATTACTTTAGATTCTTATATATACTACATACAGAGTCTAAAAGTCTATGTATAAATTTTGATTTAATTTTTATTTGTTTAGACTTAATTTTGATGAGGCAAGTAGCAGCCCCGGAAGTAGTCCTAACACACAAGGTAGCAGTAAACCTCCCATGCCAGAAAGACATCAAAGAAAACATGGAAAGTAAGTCCGCATGTATCAAATAAAAATTAGAATACTGTTAAATTTAAATAAACGTACTATTACATAAATACTTTTTATGTTAGACGTTTTTATCTCTTTATTCAAACGATTTTAAGGGCTCAGCAAAGTTCGACGCAGAAACGAGCTCAACCAAAATTGAAAAAATTTCCAAGTATGCCTGTTGAAAGAGGTAAGATTTGAATGCTTTGATTACACGAATATCATTTTACAACAATTTATCTACTTGCTTCGATTACATATTGCAAACCTCATTCAACAATTAAAATGATATAGATTAAAAATCTTAATTTAGGACCTTCGCATGACACGAATAATTATGGACATTCATCAAACAATGCTGGCCATGCCCACAATGGTAGGGTAGTAAAATGAATAAAATATTTTATCAACCTTTATTCTCTCAAATGAATCCTCACAAAAAAACAATTTAGATGACACATTGCACCATGCGGGTGGAATGCACCATGCGGGTGGAATGGAACAATATGCAGGATATGGATATCACCACTTAGGGTCACAAGGGTGGCAATACCCTACAGCTAATTATGGTTACAATCAAGCGATGTTTGGTCATCATCCCTCGTTTGACAATGCTAATATGCATGCAAACTTTGGAGGCCAGAAAACATATTATAGAAGTGAATCTATGCCTGTTGACCACCAAAATGGAGGGGGCTATACTGGAAGTCATCCTTATAGTCCATCATCATCTAGCTATTGGACAGATACTAGTTCTGGTAGGCTAATGTTTTTTACTACTAATACTACATAGTTCTTGTTGTGTATGGGCGTCAGCCCTTAAAGTGTTTACTATAAAAGCCAGCGTAAGCGTAAGTCTAGTGGGATCATCTAGCGGGGCTAGTCACTGATCTCCTTCGTCTGTCCAATTCCCTTTGCCTTCATTGATCATTTCTACATGTGATAAACTGTTATTATTGTGCTCGTCGACATTAGTTAAATCTCGGACACACCTCGGGTCGTAACAGTTCTGTAAGCTAATGTCAGACTATTTAGTTTATGCTTCTTAGAAGCGTTCAATTTATTATGTAGACATCTCTATTAGGTTATTATCAATTAAATTTTATAGTTAAACCTTTTTATGGTTAACAATAGATTATATTTTAGATCATGGAAGTAGCTATAGTAGTAATCATTTGTTTGGTAATGGAAGCCAAAGCATGAATTTAAGAAACCAAATAATAGAAGAACAAGTGGAAAATGCGGGTGTTTCAGATGAAAGCTATTACCATGGTGTTAAAGTGGAGCATTATAATGACGGACAAACTGTTCCTAATGATGGCAACAATCCTGGCGTTTACTATGACAGCAATTATACTAGTGGTTATCAAAGTAATCTTGCTCATCCACACATTCAAAATCACCAAATGAATCAACAATTGAGTGAAACTGAGTATCAAGAAGATCCCGGCTGTCATATAATGTAACAATCTATGAAGTCAATTTTTCAGAAGGTAACAAAAATGTTTTGAGAGAGATTTTTTATTTGGTTACTTTACATGGTTTGATTATTTTCCTTGGATTGTTTTAACTTGATCGTCCTTGTTTTTAACGGTTTACTTTATTCCTTGTTCTTCCCAACTTGATTCCTTTTTTTGTTCGGTATGGGGTTTAAACGTTTTCATTAACACATTGGGTAAATTTCGTAATGCTACTAAAATTGGACTGTAACAATAATGGAAAACCTAATAGTTTCTGATATTCGGTAATCAGTTTTGAACAGCTAACCGTAAAAGTAAAACCTTTACTCGCATTAAATTCTCTTCTGAATCCTTTCTGTCATTGTTTGGTTGGGGGTGTTTCTCTTAAAGAAACTGACATTTTTTGGTATTTATTCTGTAAAGCATTAACTTCAAAATTTTGATTTATCTTGTAAAGTCGGTTCGGACAATACAGGATTTTGACGATTTGGGTTTTAAATTGGGGAAAGGGTTTATAACATTATTTAAACTTTTTTTAAATTTTATACATTTATTTAGACCAGGAACTTTTATTTTTAACATTTTATATTTAAAAATTTTCCCTTTACTCATGTCCTGATTATTTTGGCAGTTTCTAATAAAGAAACTGAAATTTTATTGAGATTATGTAAATCATCTATTTAAAAAATTATTTTATATTTACACAAGGGTTGTCGGTTCGGAACAAAATTGTAAACAGAACCAAGATCTGTCATTGTTTGGTTGTTTCTCTTAAAGAAACTCAAATTTTTTGGTATTTATTCTGTAAGGCATTTATTTTTTAAAGATTTTTATTTACACTTGGGTTGTCGGTTCAGAATCAAATCTAAAGGAAAAATCGAGAATCAAAAAGCTGAAACCCAAAAATTATTGGCTCTACTCCAGTTTATGCGTCCAATCGACTTTTATGCGTCCAATGAAAGTTTATGCGTCCAATAAAAAGAAAATTGGATTTTTCTTGGTATTACAAAGTTGGGGTATGGTTCCAAAGCATTTCTTCATGTGCGGGACTTACGCCCACTGGGTCTGGGACCATTCCTTGCCCTATCCCTCGAAATTTCGGAAAGTTACAGTGAATTTTTTAAAATTTCAGAGAAACGATTTTAACTTTAAAAAATTTCGAGGAATAGGGTAAGAAATGGTCCCAGACCCAGTGGGCGTAGGTGCTGAACATGAAGACATGCTTTGGAACCATACCCCAACTTTGCAATACCAAGAAAAATCCAATTTTCTTTTTATTGGACGC